CGGTTGCAAGCAGCAACGCCCTGGCGCGATCGCCCGTGACAGGAGACCCAGCACCAGTCAATTCAGCCATTAGCCCTCGAATCCGTCCCCCGTACACAGCAATGATTTCACCCTGAAGCGCCAAGAATTGTTGATTCAGCAACATGGAAGAATTTGCGGCTTGGGCCACGAAGATCGTGCGAAGCGACGTCCAGATTTCAGCAGCGGTCTTGGTGAGATCAATCAGCGGCAAGAATTCATCGCTCAATCCCAAGCCAATGACGGTGATGGCTTGCTGATTGCGAAAATCCCAATCTGATTGTAGCGTCTGCTCAGCGGGACGAGGCTCAGTCCCATCAACGATGTTCCACGCTCGTTTCGCAGAGAGGATCAGCCTGATTCTTGTCGCCCATGTGAAGAAATCCGTGCCACTGAATTTCTCCACCTTCTCTGTGAAAGCCACGAGAACTTGAGCAGCAACCGGTGTCGGCGGCGGCGGCGGCGGCAGCGGCGGTGGTGGTGGGGGCGGCGGAGGTGGTGGTGGGGTTGAAGCGGCCATGACAGCAACGTCAAATCAACCAACCAAGATCGTCCCCGAAATCCGATACCATGTTGTGAAGTTGACCTCTGTGCGAGTGATCCTTGCACTGGCGGCCAAGTACGACCTGGAACTGCACCAGTTGGACGTTCGCACTGCTTTCCTGCATGGCAAGTTGAACGAGGAGGTCTACGTCACGCAACCACCTGGATTCGTCAAACCTGGTGAGGAACATCTTGTTTGCAAGCTGAATCGCGCCCTGTATGGGCTTAAACAATCCCCGAGGGTTGGTTTGAACGCATTGATGCGTTCTTCAAGAGCCTGGGTGTGTTCCTCTTGCAGTGGAAGGAAACGTGTACCTGTACAAGTGTGGTGACGATTTTCTCCTGGTTGCTGTGTACGTTGACGACTGCATTCTCGGTGCAAAAACCCGCCACCTGCTGGACGAGATGAAAAATAAGCTGAGTGAAGAATTTGAGATGTCTGACCTGGGCGAGCTTCGCCATTTCCTTGGCATCCAAGACTGCTCTCCCGTGGCCACACCTCTTGCGGTCAATCACAAACTCAGCCGTGACATGGCCCCTGTCACAGAGGAAGAACGAAGGCTTTCGCTCGAGTATGCGTTCTTGCTCCATGGGGCTGCTGTGTCCTGGAGCAGTAAGCGCCAGCCGCTGGTGGCTCTGTCCTCGACAGAGGCAGAGTATATTGCCCTAACCACTGCCAGCAAAGAAGCGATTTGGTTGACCGAGTTCTGCCGTGACCTGCCCCAGATTCCTGCTTGCACCGGCCCTATGGTGCTGTTCTCGGACAACCAAAGTGCTCTTGCACTGGCCGCCAATCCTCGCTTCCATTTTCGGATGAAACACATCGAGATTCGTTTCCACAAGTCCAAAATGGAAAGTTGTTGCTGGAATATTGCCCCACCGAGGCAATGGTGGCTGATATACTCACGAAGGCTTTGGCTCGAGACTCCTTTGAACGCCATCGCGCTGCACTGGGAGTCTGCTCTCCATCTGTTTCGGCTGAGTGGGAGGGGTAGTCGTCGCAGTCTCGACCAGCTGACGTGGCATGTCCACGTGGTCATGAGTTATGTCCCTTTGAGTCATGCAAAAAGAGTCGGAACACAATGAACGAGCTCATGAGTGTTATGTCCATCCCTTTTAACATCACAACAACCACTGCGATCGCCCGGGGCCGTGAGGATCGACGAGCTCGCGGTGGCTGTGGAGCTTGCTGGCACGAGCGTGGGCGACGAGGATGGTGTTCCAGGCGATCGGATGCTCGAATTCTGGGAGACGAGGCTGTGCTCCGGCATACGATCGAACGTCGTCCGATTCGGCGGGCGTGGACGAGCACAGCGCTGGCAAATGGCGTGAGAATGCAGGTCAGATCGTGCTGGGGCATCACGTCGCGGAAGAAATCCTCGGCCTGGTGGATCATCCCCCCCAGCTGCGCGTACATCGAGGTCCAAGAAACAAGATCCCTGGCCGGCATCTTGCGAAATATCCTGCGCTCTGCCCGGATGGACGGCGGCGCCAGGATCGAGTTCCAAGACTTTTCTTTCTGTTCTTCTCCAGTTTATTTTTCATTTGCTTGATCATTGGACCCCGCGCCAATCAAAGTGGTGACTTTTCTTTGGCAAGGGGCAAAGTGGGCGCGGTCGAAGATCAGGGTGACTTCAGTACATGTTAGGCCTTCACGACTGCGGACGGGGTGGCCAGTTCTTTTGGGATTTATCATCCCTCTCCAGGGCGTGCCGTGGCTCTCCAAGCAGCAATTGATTAACCGTAATGCCAAAAGTTCGTGCCTTTGCTTGAGTTCTTTGCTTAGCAGATAGTTCTACAGGTTTCGACCACAAAGGTAGTGACTTTGCATTCGATGTGGAACGAGGCTTGGTGCACAAGGCAGACTACCCATATATCGGGATGAAACAAGACTGCCAATGTAAGAAAAAGAAAAGTCTGAAGCACGGTGTGAAAATCGCGGGCTATCGCACGTTTGGAGGAGAGCGGAGGATTCTGGAGGAGTTGAAGATTCAACCTGTTGCAGCTACGGTCTGTGCATCGCGGGACTACCTGAGACATGGATCCGGCAGTCTTCGAGCTGCAAATTACACAGCTGGTACTTGCCTCCACACAGTACTTGTGAGATACTTTTCATTAACGTTCCTAGCCTGATAAGTTGTTATTTCAAAAGGTGGTGTTCCTTTCCTTTCTGGGTACTTAAAAACTCGTATGGAACGAGTTTTTGCGAGGACTATTCAATGCTGTGGCGCAAACTTCCCCTCTAGACTACCACTATGTGGATGGCCAGTGGAAGGAGTAGTGAGCCCATCCGATGAAGGCGATCAAGAGTCCAAACGGTAGTGAAGAAAACGTGCTGTTGAAAACTAGAAACTTAATCTCGAGTCCTTTGAGTTGGACCCCGCCCCGTCCTCCTCTTGCAGCAGCCGAGCAGCATCTCAAAACCCCGGTAATGCGCCAACAACGAAGACCGACGGGGAAAACTAAAGTTTGGGGTTTTCTCTATGGGTCAACGAAGTGTCAACGTAGTCCCCTGGGCTGTTGTTCTTAGAAAAAAAAACGAGTGGAAATCCATTGCTAGTGCTAGTAGTGATTCACATGATGATAAAGTTGGGATAGCAAATTGGAACGCGTGAAAACTTTCATTTGCAATTAAGGGATATAGTAAGGCACTTGTTTAGCTTGTGAAAAATTTCGCAATAGGAAGAGCATGCATTTTGGCTGGTGTTGACTACGAACTCTGAAAAGAGAGAAAAGAAAACATTAAAAGAATGCCTACCCGTCAGTGGCTCCACAGGCTGGGGTCGCTAACTGGCTACATTTCAGTCCCAAACGATCGATGAATCCAAGAGAATGACAAGGAAGAAGAGCTTGGATTTTGATCACTTCTAAACAACTTCCACGAAACCGTCTCCTGCAAGTCCTCGACACTTCTTGTTGCTGTCCACCAGAATAGTGATTCATGGCTCACTGATCAGAAAGTTCCATGAGCCTCCCGTCGACCCTCGCTTGGTCCCCAGCATTAACAACCATGTTTTCATCTCTTTATGATAAATTTTCATATCAAAAAGTTCCTCAAGGAATAGGTTATAATATGTATATCGAGCTTGTAAGAAAAAAAAATTGTTATGTTTAGTAGTATTATTTCTAGTTATTAATCCAATTGATCAAATAAAAATTTATAATTATAAACATGTTTATAATTTATAAATACAAGATTAATCTTATAGAATAAAAACCCTTAGATGGTAGAATATTCTAGAATATCCAAGCATATTCTAGGTATATTTATTAAAATAGCACAATAGATCACTATTCACTATGAACCATAAAAAGTTTACCAATATAGAGATAATGTCTAAAGCCAAAAAATATATACAATAACAAATAAATCTTACTCATAAGTTAAATATTTTTCTTAGCATTATAACTTTCATAAATCTTGCATAAACACCCAAGTCCATATTCATCAGTATATATATCATATGACCATGTCACACTAAGCATTGCAAGCACTAAAGTTGTTCAAGATATCTAATCTCTTCTTAGAAGAAACTCAAATTTAGATAATTTTAAATAGAGCTTGTTATCCTTTAAGAGTTGTATTCATAGCCACCTTGAGCTTTGCAAAACTATCTTGCTCAATACTTTCTCATTGAAACATAACATCTTTCTTGAGAAGATTAGTAAAAGGAATAACAATTTGTGAAAAAGCTTGAATAAAGTGACAGTAATAATTTATTAAACCCATAAAACTGTGCAAATCTTGTACCTTAAGCACAAGGATCTGGCTTAATGCAGATAATATAGTCTTAAAAATGTCATACTTAGGCTTCATAGTAAAAAATTTGCTTTCACAAAGCTTTTACAGACCTTGCCAAAATAGCACTATAGATTAGAATGTCATCCAAAATATTTTATGGATATGTCATCTTACTATTCTTCAAATATTGAATTCAAGAGCTTTGAGAGCATTTTATAATGTATTCCGATTATAAAAGTGAATATTTCACTCTAAAAGGTAGATTATGCTTAATGTAGCTGCCAGTGGTGGCATGCCTTTATATCCCAATTCCCATGTGAACTAGTGCAACACATAAAGTTTCTAAGAAAAAATCAGCACTGGCACTTCAAAAACTCCTTTGGATCTGTACCTTTAAAGGTGAAATCGAGAGCATGAGCCGTAGGATTGTTTTGTATCCACGGTTGTAGTGAATCCAGAAAATATCTTGGCAAAAAGTGGCATATGCCCTCGTAGATATGTGAAATCCTTTGGAGAACTCCCATTGGCCCAGGACACGTGGACAGTGAGCTGGCCACATGGATGATGACAGTAGCTTGAATCGCCACCGTCGCCGGTAATATCTGCGCTTTTTCCACGCAAAAAGCCGTCGAAATATCTCTGTCCGTACGAGACTACCGTACAATTTTGGCAGTGGCCAATTGGAACGAGTTTGTTGATCCTTCTCTCTCACTCATCTCTCTCCATTCTCTCTTCTCTAGCTTGGCACTGGCGGCCATCGATCGATCTTCCTCCGTACCTCTGGTGCCGCCCATCGATCCAATTTCCATAGGGCAAAGATCCGCGCTCGCGCGCTGATCAATCTTGTGATGGTCCGCCCTTGAGATCGAGTCGAATTCGTCCGATGACGAGCAAGGGGAGCTCGAGGGAAGGGCGGGGAGAGAGCAGCCGTAGCAGCCATAGCAATCACCACGGCAAGGGGCAGAGTAGGGCAAATGCCGCGGTAGCAGAGCCCTTGTTCCCCAGGGTTCACGTTAGCGACACCAGGAATGGCCCCAAAGCGCCGCCTCGCAACAAAATGGCGCTCTACGAGCAGCTCACGGTTCCATCGCAGCATTTTCTCCAAAGGCAAGCCTCCGGATCGGTGTGGCCGCCCATGAATCCAGCCTACGCTTCCCAGGTACTCCCAAAATCTCGTTTTTCTCGTGAATTTGGCTGGAAGGTTTTGTTCTATTTTGGATTTGGCTGAAGCTTTGTTTGCTTTCTCGATTTCTTGCTTGGTTTCGGGAAGTTTTTGTTTGCTTTCGCGGTTTCTTTCTTGGTTTCGTGAATTTGGCTGTAAGCTTTTGTTTGCTTGTGATCTAGCTAGGCTGCTAGGAAGAAAAAAAAACTGAGAAGTATGAAAGGTGATGGCTAGAAGCTGATTTTCTGGTCATGACTTTGCAGGGAGCACGTATTTAAGATAAATCGTTTGGATCTCTTGCAGTATGCACCATTTGCCAGCAATTGCTTCACACCATGCTTCGTTCCTCCGGGGCTGTCATTCCACCACCATGCCAGCTCCACGGATGGAGGAACAGCGTCTCAATCCATGGGGGCGCCGCTCGGCAGCCAAAAGAGCATGGTCATGGACTCGGAAGTCGACAAGGAGCTGCAAAGAGTTCCTCGAGTCGTGGACGAGAACAATCCAGTTGGAGGTGGTGGAAATGCTGCTACTCCTACTACCCCCTGTGCTGCTCGACCAGTTCCCTGCGCAAAATCTTCGTCCCAACAACAACAACAACATCCATGCGCAAAATCTTCGTCCCAACAACAACAACAACAACATCCAAGCGCAAATACCATCGCTGCCGCCACCGCTAACGTCGTGAACACCACTATGGCCAACGCCACCCTCGCCAACGTGAACAAGAGGGTGAGGAACGAGGACGATTTTGCCGTGCCGACTTACTGCTTCCCGAAAGATGGCAAGGGGGTGGAAGCTGGCAGTGGTAGCAAGCAGCAGCAGCAGCAGCATAGCAACACGAGGAGTGAGATGAATGCGAGCAAGAGCTCGGCAGCTGAGATCGTGGAGAGGACTGTGCCATCTTCGGCTGGAGTTTCTTCTTCTCCAGCTGCTGTTGCCGGTGTTACTGCTGCCGCTGGTGGTGGTGGTGGTGCTGCTACTGCTGCTCCGGGCGTGATTTCTCCGCACAAAGGTCATACGGAACACATATCCTCGAGCAATATCTGCGAGAGTGCTGCAGGCTCGGACAACCAGAGCGACGATTTCTTCCAGTCACTGCACGAGGAGCAAGTGAGCGGCGATGGGGATTCCAACGCTTCCATCGTCGACCCGTTCGGCAAGATCGCGGCGAGGGACGTTGTTGGAGCCGTCGGGGAGAAGGAGTTTTGGAAGACGCGCAAGACGATCTTAAGGTAAAAAAAGTCTTTTTTCTAGTCTAGATGTTGAGAACTTCATTCACACGCAGGCAGCAAAGGATATTTGAAACGCAGGTTTTTGAGCTCCATCGTGTTGTCAAGGTAAACAGAGCACCAATTTTCTCTTCTTTCATTGCTCTTTGTACAAAAGGTGGTGTTTTTTAAGCCGTTTTTCTCGCAGGTGCAACACTTGCTAGCCGAGTCTCCAAAACTCTTGCTAGAGCCCGATCACGCCAGGTTCCATCTAGCCCAACCTCTGCGGATCACGCACGAGATTGCTACGCCGGCGGAGGAACGCCTGTTAGCTCATCCTCCAGTAGCAGTCAGAGGATCTAACAAAGATCAAACAACAAACTTCACCACCGCTCAAGCCTCGAAGCCGCCCTACAATCCCAAGGACCAACACCGCCAGCAAAGATCATACTCCACAGCACCAGCGGATATCTCTCCTCGAGAAGCTCCTCCACCACCACCAGCTGTAACAGCAACACTCATAAACACATGCTCGAGCTCTCCAGCGCCGCCGCCGCCGCCGCCGCAGATGAACTCGAGCTCCACCACCACCACCCAAGGCATGACTTATCAAACGTTCCCGGGGGCCGCGAACTCCTGGGGGTTCGCCACCTTCCCGGCTGGCAACCAGTGGGCGATGCTCCCACCCTCCTGCCAGCCTTACGTCTTCCAGCCGCCGCCAAACGCCGCTCAAATGCTACCGGGTTACGGTGCCGCATACCAGCCAGTCTTCCACAACGGTGCAGGAAGCTACGAGTTATTCCCGATGGTTCCACGCCCGCCAAGGATGCAAACCGCCGAGATGCAGCCCGTCTACTGGCAGCAGCCCATGTACCCGAGCGTCCACTCCTCCGGCTGGTACGCTTTTCCTCCGCAGTTCTTCGACTCCTCCTCGGTACAAACACCGCAACCTTCAAAGCTTCCAAAGTCGGCGAACTCGACGGTCATGTCCCCGATGGATCTCCAGCAAGAGCAGCGGCAGCAGCGGCAGCAGCAGCAGCAGTATCAGCAGCAGCAGCAGCAGCCAAAGTTCCCCGGCTCGACGCACAACAGTGACATGTCCTCCATAGCTCAGAGCTCCGACTACCATCACTTCCAGCAGCAGGAGCAGCAGGAGAAGAGAGGGCCCGAAATGACACAAAGGTGGATTGAAGGCGAGCACCAGCAGCACGGGGTGAGTTACTCGCTGCCTTTCTCGTACGTTCCTCCATCGGAGAGGCACGAACAGCAGCAGCAACAGGGTGGTGGGGGTGGAGCAGGATTTAATGGAAACAATGGGGCCATGAAAGTTGTACCTCGGGCTGTAATGGCCACGCCCGAATCAGCAGCTGGGATTCTCAAGTCAATCCAGCGAGAGCGACGCTGAAGAAGAGTAAGAAATCCAGAAATGTAATGTAAAGAAGCAGCAGCTTAGAAGCTGGAGGACAGCTGAAGAACAGCTCTCATAAGTAATCTTTTCTTTTTAAAATCTTGGTGTTTTTTTTTTCTATGTGCTGATCTTGTTGTCCTGTGGCAGTGGATAAATGGAAGCAGCAGCCAACATGGTGTAACTTTGTTTTTTGTATGCATCTTTTGTTTTACTAAAGAAAAGAGATTTTTAGGGGTGACTATACCACCTACAGACAGCTCCAGAAGGGACATCATGCAACATGATCCTTGCAAGAACTCCTCTCTGTTTTTTTTTCTTCCTTTTTTCTCTCTCTCTCTCTGACTGCTTTTCTTTTTTTCTCTTTTTTTTTCCTCTCTGACTGCTTTCTTTTTTCTCCTTTTTTTTTTTTTTTGAGCTTGGTAATTCACCTAACAGTCATGTGAAGTGTACAGTGGCTCAGAACCTTAAAAATCCTAAGAAGAATGTTGTGTGAAATCCTTCTATGGTTGATAATATTGGATGTGAGCTTCTAGAAATGATGTGTTGAAAGTCAAGCATGTCTCTCTGGAAACCTGTATAAAGTCTTGCAAAGATTGGACAAAAAAGGAGCATGTTTGATTCTTGGAGATTTGTAGACAAGTTCTCTTGTAGTTGTAAATATTACCTTTTTACAAAATCAATTTTTTTTTTTTTACTCTGAGAAATAGTTTTTTGGAGTATGCTTTGGTTGTCACAGAGATTCTTTTCTCTTTGTTTTGCAGCAATCACATGAAAACTTCTACAGTCTTGTTTGTAGATCCAGAGAAGAATTTGGAGACTTTTGCTGGGCCAATGCAAGCCGGGACGTGAAGAACTGGCACGAATCCACCGCCGCTTGCCCTGTGATGCAGGGGAGTCGCGGGAGCGCTCCTCGTGAAATTCATGTCCATCGCCAAGGATGGCGATGGTGGGAAGAAGCTGGCAATCGCCCTGTTCTTCCTTTGCTGCTGCTGCTTGCTCTTGGAGTGGTGGTGGTGTTGGTTATGGTGATCGCCAACTTGGGCTTGAGCGGCCCTGGAAGAAGTTGGTACTGGCGATGGCGATGATTCCTTCCTCCCGAAAAAGATGTTTCGGAGAAGATTAGAGCTCGATGACGCTGGCTTTGACGAAGGAGGAGGAGGAGGAGGCGGCGGCGGCGAAATTGGAGGCGTGCTGTGGCTTTTCTTTAACGCCACGAAGAAGAAATCCTTGAATCGCCTCGAGCTTCTCCCCCGGGGAGGATAGGACGACGACTTCTGGGTCGTGGGCGCCTTGCCACTGCCCGAGCTGCTAAAGTAGGGGCTGGGCGGCGCGGATCCCCCCCTTCTCAGCGTGTTGAGATCCTTCACCATGGCCATCCTAGACATGGGCTCCAATGGCAGCATCTTGCCGTCGTAGAAGAGCTCGTCGGCTGGAAATGCGGTGGAATCGGTGCCGCCGCGAGGGGATTTGGGCCGGATGAACTCGAAATCCGCGGGCTGATCGCCGCTACTGCTCGCGATTGGCGCCGCCGCGGCCGCATCGAGCTGGAGCTGCTGGAGTTGCTGGACCTCCTCCTGCCTGGCCAAGAAGCTGGAGAAAGAAACCCTGCGCTGCGATTCCCGGCTCGAAATATCCACGAATTCCTCCCCACCATGGCGCAATCGCGGCGTACCGGTGTCGTGCTCCGGGATCTGTATGAGCGCCATCGCCGAGCTCGCGCGATCGATTGCCGATATTGTGGATCTCTCTCCTCTCTCCTCTCTCTCTCTCTCTCGACGCGCTCGATCACGCTGTAGAAAAACCTAGGTAAAGAGCAAGAGTGATATTGTCTACTATGGGCCTTTTAAGAAAATGGACATGGACAGTGGCTTTAGTCACACGTTAGCTGCGATTCCAAGAGCTTCGTCACGACATCGCCCGGAAGGTTCCAGTCGAGGGACGTCGTTGGTTCGATCCAGGTCGTGGGCGTGGCCACGCGGCGCTCTGGTATTTTGACTCGTGGCAGAGCCTCGGCCGTTGGTTTGACGCTTTTTTTCCTCTTTGTCATTTTCGATGTGATCACGGACAATCCAGATGTGTGTAGTTTAACTGATGTCGTGATTGATATTGAGAGGAAAGGTGGCGAAAAAGCATAGAAAAATTTCTGATACACTGTGGTTGTCAAGATATTTGGTAAGGTTGTTGTGTGAATGGCACAAGAAGTCTCTATAGACACATTGATGAATCCACCCACTGTCAGTCATGGTTGATCCAATCATACACTCGTTATTAAATTTTTGGCCTTTAGACGTAACCCTAATCCTTTGTCGGACTTGACGGCGCCGTTATTTGACGACAGGCTGATTGACTGACGGGCGCTTGTCGCATTCCCGCCGGGGAAAACTTTTGTCCAGCCTGTCAACGGTCAGATTGGAATAAGTCCTTGGCCCGACTTTCCGTCCCGGAAGACCCACCCTCATTCTCCTCCTTTATTGGTGACAAGCGAAGAACGAAGAGAAAAAAGAGGGAGGAGCTCGTGCTCGTGGCGATCGATCGACGCGCGCCAGCGATGGCCGGAGATTTTTGACTCGAAATTCTCTTGCCGGATGAGCGCCACGTCCCGAAAGATAAGTTTTCACGCTCGGATTCTCAGGCAGGGCAGCCATTTCTATCTCCTCGCGTCTGGGATCTAAGATTTCCAAGGCTGGGCGAGGATAGGGTTCTTGGGATTCATGACGAAGGCGAGCTGCTGGACGCATCCGGCCTTCTCCCAGGTCGGAGTATGCGCGGCCTGCCTCAGGGAGCGGCTGGAGCAGCTGTGCATCGAGGAGCACTGCGGCACTCCGCCGCATCGATGCTCCTTCGACAGCAATTCCTCGGTGGCGCCGCCGCCGGAGGAGAATGGGGCGAGTGGCAATCTCGCCTCAATCTCGTCCATGATGGAGGCCGATCGAGCGGAGGCGGATTATCATCGCAATGGCGTCGAGGTACCTGTGGAGCCGCTGCCAAAGTTTGCGTCCTTCTTGCAGAGGACGCATTCTTGGTCGAGCTCTCGGCCGCAAAGGAGTGGGTTTCCAGAGGCGAGGAACTTGGATTTGGGGAAGCCGCGGACGCTGGAGAAGGTTATCAGCGGGAAAGATCTCTACGGGAATCAGTCCTTGCCACCCAGTGGATTTTTGCTCAACGAAGGGAGCTGCAAATTCGACTTCTGCGAGACGCCCAAAGGCCACTACAAGGCTTCTTCGTGGCCGGAGATTGATTCCCGCAAGCAGCAGCAGCAGCAGGGTGATCAGCACCGCATGAGCTCGTGGATCGCGTCTCTGTTTGGAATCCGGAGCAAAGCCAAGGATCCAAAAGACCCGAGAGTGTTCAAGTCAGGGGAGCTCAAGGAGAGGAAGAAGTTTTTCAGAGGTCTCGGCAGGAAGAAGAAGAACTCGGCGTCGTCCGTGGACACGAACGCGAAGCTGGAGCAGGAAGAAGCTTTTGCGAGTGGCGAGCAGCAGCAGCAGCAGCATCAGGCGAATGGAACGAGCCGGGTGATGCCGCTGGCCGGGAACGGCGACTACAACTTCAACCACAAGCCGAGCTTGACGAACATGAGGTCTGTAAATGGAAGACAAAAGCCTCCCAGAGATTCGAGCTGGCCAAAGGCGTGGAGCACTCCACTCCGGAAGTTCATGCACAACAAGGCCGACGTCGACAACGATAGTTTGGGAGACATCGAGGAGAAGAGCTCCTGGAATGCCTCGTCTCCAGCACCGGAAGTGAAGCGCTTCCATCCATCTCCGGCGTTCCCGACGAATTCCTCGTACACGGCCTACTACCGGGACTATGGATCTTCGTGGAGTCTACACTCGAGTCCCATGCCCGGGAGTAAAGCTAGGTGGAATCAGCAGCACCACCGTGCACGGCCTTGGGAGGCGAGCAGGGACAACTTCCACTTGCATTCCTCGTCGCCGTTTCATGCGGCTGGCAGCAACACTTGGAACTTCTACTTGACACCATTGAGACCCGTGAGAAGCACGACTTCCCGGCACAGGACGTGATGGATCAGCAGAGCGGAAAGAGAGAAAAAAAGAGCCGCTTGGTGGATGCGTCGCGTTCCTCGTCGACTTGGGATCTTTGAGAGGTATGAAAAGTCAAGCTTGCTTTCGTTTTTTCGTGCGAATGCTTAGCATGTAAAGCTGGTGAATGGCAGTGTGTCAGCAGAGGAGCGGCGATACATATTTTGCCAAAGCCAACAGCAGCTCGTAACTACAAAGCAGAGGCAGTAATGGTGCTCAGTGCTCGTCCGCTGGCCGGGCCGGGAAGAACGAAAAGAAGGGATCGAAAAAGGATGCTATCAGGACAAAGCCATGGGCCCGGTCAGTGTGATGGATAAAGGCTTTGGCAGCGTGTAAAGTGTAGCAGCAACAACACCACCACCAGCAACAGTAGCAGCAACAGCAGAAGCAGCAGGAATTATCAATGCGGGTCGGGTTAGAGCGAGCGAAGCCATCAATCAATCAGCGCTGGTACGCCCTCCTGGCCGAGATGCCGAAGAAGAAAAGTCCATGCTGAGCTGAGCTGAGCCATGGTGGTACTAGCACTGCCTGGGATACTACGGATCGTTCGACAAAGCGCACAGCACTACTGCTACTGGTCCAAGAAAAAAGAAGACAAGGGAAGCACGGCATTGGTTGGAATCTGATGCACAAGGTTTGGGTGGAGCAGCACAGCACGGCTTGCAGATATTTTTTGGGATTCTGGGAGAGAGGTGTTCTAGTGTCAGTCGGGCAGGCAGGCGGTAAGAACACGAAGAACACGACCCATTCTTTTCTTCTTCGTTTTAGTGAGGCCGGGCTTTTCGTTTTCGATCGATCGATGTTGGTGGGCTTGTTGGTGGTGGCATGATCGTCGTCTTGGTCGACTTTGGTGGGATGTGACTTTCTCGATCTCACTCCATCTCTCTCACAGTGACACTGTGCCAAAGCAAAGAAAATGCTAAAATTTCATTCATTCAAACGAAGACCATGACGAGGAAAAGTGGAAAAGAAAGAGGAGCGTGAAAGCGAAGGGATTGCCTTGGAAGCGAGGAAATCAATTCGCCAGGGGACAAGGACAACTCCAGAAGCATATTCCCTTAATTTAAACTAGCAGCATTTTCGGTTCTGTTAGTGCCCTAAAAGCACCCCGTTTAAACCAGTAGCGTATTCGGTTCTGTTACTGGTGCCCCAAAAGCACCCCGTTTAAACTGGTAGTATATTCGGTTCGGTTAAATGCACAGCATAGCATATTCGGCATTTTAAACTTGGGTCCCGCCGAAAAAGTAAAGGAGTCTCGATCTTTGGCTGTGAGCCGTCGATTCGTCACGTTCCCCGCCAAAAGCGCCACGTGCGAGCGATGGATGGGGCGGGGATGGACGGCATGGATGCGCGGCTTTCGTGGCTTGGAGTGGCCCCGCCCACATTGTGGGAGAGAGAAGAGAAGGAGAGAGACGCGCTGGCGCTGGTGCTGGCTAGGGCAGAGGAGCAATGCGTCCGCTGGAGCGTCACGACGGCGATAGCGACAGTGGAGAGGGGGAGATGTTGCTGTAGGGAGCGACGCCATATCGATCGATTCTTCTGGCGCGCCATCGCCATGGCCGGCAGCAGCACTGGAATTCTTCGCGGATTTCCAAGTCGCCGGGAGACGTCATGCGATTCCAACTGATCCTGCGCCTTCGTCACCGATCCAAGTAAGTGATCGTGAGAGATCGCGAGAATTTCTTCCTTTCTCTCGAGCTCGAGCTCGAGCGTAATATTTTGATCCAGGGATGAGGAGGAAGACGCACGCTCGATGGAGGGTTGGAGCTCTAGTTGTGATAGCGGCGCTGGTAGTCTTTCTCGTGTGGCTGAAATCTCGTGTCGCCTCGTCGATCCGTCGCCAGGAAGAAGCCGCCGATCCGTCGGGATTTCCGGGTTTCTCCGTGGAGATCAAACCGAAGCTGGCGTTTCTTTTTCTCGCCCGGAATCGAATGCCCCTTGACTTCCTGTGGCAGCGCTTCTTCGAGGTGAGAAATTCGTGAATTCGAGCGATGAAACGCTCGGTTCTAACACTTTTTTTTTCTTGTTCTTCTCTTTGCAGGGTGCCAAAGACCACGAGTTTAGTGTCTATATACACGCGAGGCCAGGGTTTGTGTACAATAAAGAAACAACTGATTGCATTTACTTCTACAATCGACAGTTGCCAAATAGCATTCTGGTACGATCGATCCACATTCTTGTCACGATCTTTATCTCTTCTTTGGTTTGTTCTCGCAGGTTGAATGGGGTGAAGCAAGCATGATAGAGGCGGAGCGTTTATTGCTTGCCAAGGCTTTCGAAGACAGCAGCAACGAAAGATTTCTGTTGTTATCCGAGAGGTATGGCGTAGATTTTTCGGTATCCAGAGAAGCTTACTTGGATTTTACAGTTGCGTACCCTTGTACAGTTTTACGTTCATATACGAGTATTTGATGGCTTCACCTAAAAGTTTTGTAGACAGGTGAGCCACCAAACTTTTTCCATTTTCCGCTGACAAACGGTGTTGTTGTGCCCGTCTGTGATGCCCAGTTTTAGAGACCGAAAGGAAAACAGATACAACCCCGTGATGGCTCCAGTCATCTCAAGAGCGAACTGGAGAAAGGGATCACAGGTTCGTCCGTAGATATTCGAGATGCTTTGGTAACACCATGTTTGGATGCCAGTGGTTTGTGCTTCTTCGCAAGCATGCGGAGGCAGTAGCCCGTGATCAGGAAATCTTTCTCCGTTTTCGCGACCATTGCAAGGTTTGTTCATAGCTCCGTTGTTACATTAGTGTGACTCAGATGATTAACTTTGCAGAGAGGTGCATTGCCGGAGTTTTGGAGGGAATACAGTGTGGTAAAGCACAGCTTTCCAAGTTCTTTGCTTTTGTAGAGTTAATTGGTTTGTTTGTTTTGGCAGAGTGCATACAGGCAGTCAGGAAGGAACTGTGTGCCGGATGAGCATTACATCCAAACTGTTCTTTCGGTAAACTTACCTTCTTTACGATTTGCGTGCCAGTCCTAATCCATTTGTCTTGCTGGTTGTTACTGTAGATTAAAGGTTTCGACGACGAACTTGAGCGTCGATCCTTGACATATAGCCTTTGGAAGTACGCTGGTCGGCGGAGGGAGCGTCAAGGATGGCATCCAGTCACCTTCTCGGATGCATCGATGAAGCTAGTCCGGGAGATCCAGGTCAGTATCTTCCCTCTAAACTCCACTCACAGATATTAGATATCACCATAGCTGAGATTGGATTCGCCTCGTCCAGGCCATTGACAACATCAAATTCGAGACTGAGGGGCGAGTGGAATGGTGCAGTGTGGCTGGCGATCCTCGGGCGTGCTTCTTGTTTGGACGCAAGTTTACCAAAGCCGCTGGGCTGAAGCTCTTGAACATGGTAAGTGGATCAAATTTTTGACTCTTTTTTCCCTCTAAGTTTGGCGAGGTGAAAATGTTCTACAGACTTTAGCCGATGATCCTGACAGCATGCATTTATACCACGATAAAACACGGAAGAAATTACCACTGGTGCAATCGTCGTGATGCACGGAGGAAAAGTTAGAAAAGAAAATTCAATGAAAATGTGATTACTGTTGATCCCTGTCTTAACAACATGGAATATCCTGAGCGAACGGCCACGATGTGAAGGGCGGAATCGACGGCTCTTAAGGCACTAGAGACCATAGTGAGTTCCAACGTTTGATTGTGACGCTGCGCGGCGAGAGGGGGGAAGAGAGTTGTTCTCTTTCTTGTTGATCTTATTTGATCTTCCTTTCTCCGAAAAATTCCTTGGCGATCCGCTGAGAGATTTATTTCGGCGCTGGGTTTCGATGAGAGGCGCTGTCCAGAGCAGTGGCGGCGTGCTGGGCACGGCTCGAAAGAATTTGTGGAGTTTTCTCAGCCTCCGGAGAAACCAGCAAGTGAGTTTGTCTTTGATTCTTTCAAGGAATGAAGTGGGATTTGCTTGGCAGACAGTTCTTGAGCAAGAGGTATCGTCCCTCAAGGACGAAATCCATGGCGTAGAAATCCGCGAATCCACGCTTCAAGTCAGGTACCTAGTTCCTTTTCTCACGTCTCGTCGTTGCAACGTTTTCTTTCTCTTTTGGTTTTTCCATTTGCGCTCCGTGTAAAGACTAGATCATTTGGATTCATTGCTGAGATCGGCTGAGATCGCTTGCTACTTGTTCACTCGATTGGTAATTGAAAATCTCAAAGTTTTTTCTTTCTTGGTTTCTCTCTTCTTTTTTTTTTTCTTTTTTTTCTTTTTTTGTGTTCTTCGACTGAATGGATGACGAACTTCCATGCTAGGTGCTGCCAGAGATGGGCACCGCTGCCTGGAGAAGAAGCTCCTCCGCTCGACGACTCGGACGTGAATGACTGGGTGCAAAGATTTCTCGTCTTCCAAAACTCCACCATCGGATTCTACCTCCGAGCAACCGGTAATAAAGTTGTGATCGCTTTGTACAAACGAAGAGCTCGTTCGAAACGTGGTGTTCTTCCCAGACTTGAGGCCCCAAGTTACGATCCAGATGCACGATATCGTGGAAGCAGGAAAGATTCCAGCTGACAAGCACCATACAGGCGATAAAAGCTGGTTTGCGTTTCATGTCACAACGTGCTATGGGCTCCGCCTCGAGTGTTCCACATTACACGAGCACCAGGTATTCATTCATTCACTCGTCTCTTTCTCGAAAATTCTTCCATCATCACCACCCAAAAAAAATCCTCTCGTTTTTTTTTTCTTCCTTTTCTTGTGTCTGCTATTTCAGCTGGACGCTTGGTTGCGAGCGCTCGCAAGTTTGAGCGATGATCAGCCAATATCAAACGAAGAACATCAAGGATCATTGAATGGCAAGTTTCCTGAATTGTGACACGAGATGTTCCTATATATTTTTGTTTTTGTGAACCTTTACACTTGTGAGCCCATGACGAAACAAAATAAAAAGAAGAATATCTATTGAAGGAATCTTAGAGCGTCGGTGCAAGGCAACAAAGTCTTCTAAAAAATTCTCTTCTCATTTAAATCGATGAATAGACAGTGTTTGGTTTCTCTTAGGATAAAATGATCAGCATTTTTTATAAACTTCCTTGTCCAAAACTGTTGCAAGTTTCTGATCAATCAGCTACTGCTTTTCCTCCAGACCAATTCCCAATCTCTGTTAGTACCTCATCGTCATCCTGGGAATAAGAAAAACTTGCCTTGTCACCACGGCCACGCAGGCCACGCTCATTGTCAACGTCTTCTCTTCCTCTCACTGGCGTAACGTTTTCCTTCGTCTTGCGAGTAAAAGGACAGTATGGACTTCCCTTCTTGCGGCACTTGTGGCATTTAAACGCGTCAACTCGAGCAATGTTGCTCGAGGTGATACCAACAGCTCTACCATGGAACCACTCTAGCAAAAGGAAGGAGAAAGAAACCATCGTCAGTAAAGCTAGGACGAGAAATAGCTTGGGAGAGTACCTTGGCAGTGTTCACAGCCGATATACAAGAGCTTTGCGTCGTATGGTTGCTCGCAAATCGCACAGCGAAGGCCTCCCCCATCGAGCTTTTGGCCGGGATACACCACCATGTCGCGCCTGAAAGTGAGCTTCTTGTCCAGTTTCCACCTCACACCGCTACTGTTGCCGGGCCTCTTGGATCGTCTCTTCCGGATCACAGCGGCTCTAAATGCCGGGGCCGTCACGGCCAGTTTCTTCCTTCGGGAGTAAACGAGCAGGACCGGTCTGTCTTTCACTGCTGCTTCTGGCGGAGATTCTTCTGCCGTGTCTAGCAATCTGCGGCTTCTTTTGGTGCTTTGCTTCGTGGTGAAACAGCTCTGGCACAGGCCGGTCTTTCCGCTCAAGCATTGTTTATGAAAGTCACCTATAACACGGTGTCGCAAAATTAAAATCGAAGAGCAAGTACACAGAATAATAGAAAAAGAGAAGGAAAGCGTACCTTGACACTCTTGGCAGCTCACAGTGTCACTGCGTGTCAACATAGAAAATGGAGTCAGCTTATTGACAGTTGGAAAGGAAGTACAGTACCTGGCAGCCAAATCCATATTGCAGTGTTCACACCTGAGTGCCTTCTTCTTGGAATGAAGCCTGTTGAGGATAGCTTTAAGCTTGGTACTCTTTGAAACTCTAGCTCTTTCTCCCTTCCGGACGGCTGCTGGTTTTTTCGGCTGCATGAAGCGGCGCCTTTTTTCCTCGAACTCCCTCACCAAGCACAAAGGTACTTCCGTTTCCGGCAGCCACACACTGTTGGTACTGGCGCTCTCTTCTCCCGCAAGTGCATTCACGAACTTGGAGGCGCAGTTCACAACGTCAGGCTTCAAGGCCTCCGTTAACTCGTCTTCCGTTTTAGACGTCTCAACTCGGTACTTGGTAATATCATCTTCCATAGCTTTCTCCCGTATGATAAATTCTCCGAACGAGGTTTTAACTTCGTCGGGGACCGGGAGTTCGGACCATCTGATTAAAGCATCGAGAGAGCGGACCTGCACAAACTGGGGTCAAGCACGGAAATGTAAATTCCTAAGAGTAGAACCTGTATCGCAAGTTCTGATACACTAAAACTAGCTTCCACCCTCGCGAGCCAAGCACATTGCACGGTTCTACGAGGCAGCTCGAAATAATCATTATATATAAGTCCAGGAACTTTTCTCATGCCACCTGCAGCAAGCAGAAAAATGACGTGATTTTTATAGTGAAAAGCCAAATTGGAAGTTCTAACCTTGCCGACCAGCCCGTTTCAACGCTGCAACCGGAAGAGTTTCCCAGTCCAAAATCCTCCTCACAAGTTTACCACCTCGGCGCCATTGAACACCACAAGTACCCCCGCCAGGAAATATCTTGATAGGATCATCGGCTTGTACTTTCTTTCGACGCCTTCCACCACTTTTCTTCAGCGAGGATACGAAAACATTGCCGTTTACTGTACCCAGCCTGGGGGCGTCCTCGGCACATATCGACCAGTTTCTTGAAAGAGCCAAGGGTCTCAGGCTTGATCCAAGCTGTGCAGCAGCAAACGTAAACTTTCAGTCGATCTACAAATCCTGTACAAAAAATATACTTCACCTCAAGTAACCCCAACTTCACTTGATGAACATGCGCCGCGCAGTCAAGGCGTCTCCGCCAGCGATTTCGTTGGTCGGTGCTTTCCCATAATCCCCCCAGCAAGCCGTACAAGCGATCTTCCATGTACAATACATATGCGATCAAAGCTGGAAGGTGGTTTATGCCTTTCTTGATAAGCCGTAATCCTCCAGTAACAATAGCTGCACCCGCGCAAAGCTTCCCCGCTGCAGTATTGAGGAGGCATCCCTTCTTCCTGCTGAGGTTTTTGCACGCGAAACACCAGCCGCACCTGTCCTTTGCAGTTTCCGCACGCTTCTTCTTCAAACTGGGCCAATAGAACTGTACAGGTGTCCGAGAAAAAGCCTTTATCTGCTCGAAAATCTGAGTTTTCTGGACCGCAGCACGCCTGTTTGTTGATTTCTCGGCCAGGTTGGAGGCTGCCAATGCCGATAGTCCTCCTTGAGAATACTGGTTGACGTAAGAGCTAGCTTCATAGAAACTTTCGTGCATCCCTGTGCATCTGCTCAGTTTTGAGGAGCCAAACGGCTTGTCCGTTGTGACTAGTTCATCTTCTGCGGAGCCGTTGAGGACGCAAATTGTGTCTTGGATCGGACTTAACAAAGCGTCATTCTTCGGGGCCGAGTTCTCGGAAAGGTTCCAGCACTGCATGATGCTTGTTCTTAAGCTAGCAGAAAGAGCTCCAGTTGAATCCAGAAGATCCAAAACGCTCGAGATGTCCCCAGGACCATAGCATACGTAACTGGAGTCAAGACTTGAAGATTCCGATCTGCAATGAATGAAATTAGTAGCTGTAGTCACTGAAAGATGAGAACTTACATAAAGAGATGTTCACACGCTGCAATGTATCTTCGCCCGTAAGTGTCTATACCAAAACACTCGAATCCCCTCACGACTTTCCGAGCCCTGGTTACTTCCGTTGCGATCTTTTGAAGCGTACACTCTGGACAGTACCAGTCTCCTTCAGGAAGAGTACTCTTGGAAACTCCCACGCACCGAGAATGATAAGCAGCAGGACAACCATCACAGCAGATGAGGTTGCCGTCCATCCCGCAAAGCACACAATCATCACTGTTCCAGTCTGATGTGTGTTTCTGTTCTGTCGGTTCTGTTCTGTGTGACGTTGGAGGATCAACCAGCTCGGATGTATCACTCGGGCTACTTTTCCGTGAGCGTCTCGTCTCTCGCTTTGTCGGCTGCTCCAAGTAACTATCTTCGACACTACCCTTCACTAACGGATCCAAATCGCTGTCCCCGTTGCTTCTCTTTGCTAGCTCCGATCTAACCTCATCCGTATCCAGTACACGGTCGCAGAGAAAGCTGAGTATATCTATCTTACTCCCAACCTCCAGCCCGTAGTACTCCCTTCTAAGAATGCCGATGTCTAAAAGCCTCTCCTTCCCTTCGTTTCTATAGTTTCCGTTGACAAGGTAAGCAATCAAGTACGAAGGCCATGCAACTGCGTCAAGCAACGTCCAATCACGGCACCTGCGACAAAACGAAAACTAGACTACGCAAAAAAAAAGTAAGGAAACAAAGCATACCTCAAACAGTTGATTGCTGACTCAATACCATCGCTGGCTAAGCTTTCGAGATGCTGCCTTAGCAGAACAAGTAAACTCAAGTGAATCTGATCGACGAGAGGATTGGCCTCCTTCAGTGTCAAGCAGCAAATAAATTGTTGAAGCGAAAACGGGCTCAGGAAGATCACCCAGCTGAACGACCGGAGAAAGGTGAAAGCCGAAAAGAGATGAAAAACAGACTCTGTCGGGATGTTTAAGTTCACTGAACTTGGCGGCAACGCGGGAACGTTTAAGTCCGTTTCCTCCGTCTTGTGGCACTCTACTTCCTCTCTAGCAGCAGGACCCCCGTCAACTTTAACCCTGTCCATCAATTGCTCTTTCTGTTTTCTCTCAGCACCGTCGTCAACTTTAATCCTGTCCATCACTTGCTCTTCCTGTTTTCTCCTTTGCTGGAGTCTCAGCGGATACTCTCTATCAGCTAAGCTTGATTTTCTCCGGTGAGCTACAGGCTTGAGAGGCTTGTTCTTCTCTTCTTCGTCCTTCTCCAAAATTTTGGTTTCTTCTTCTTTAGTTTCCTGTCCTTCCTCCTTCGTTTCTTCCTCTTTCTCGAGCACTTTTTCTTCTTGACGAGGCTTCTTCCTGGGCCTGCCTCTGGGTCTTTTTCCTGGCTCGCTTTCCGGCCGATGCCTCTTCAAAGCCTTGGCAACCTCCCAGGCAACAAGGTCCTTATAATTCATCGCTTGGATAAGCTCCCCATTTGTTCCATTAGCGTCCGCGATTTTCCTCGGACGTCCTCTGGAACGCTTTGGAGGAGCACCACTGTCACTGCCACAATCTACGAGAATTTCCCGAAGCTCATGGAGCTCCACCTCCTCCCTGTCCCCGTCGGCGTACTTCACCCTGAAATATTTGCTCGATTTGTCATAGGCCACCACTGTCCCACCGAAATATCCATGCCCCTGGAAATACTTCCTCACCGATCTTCCCACGAGCTCGGCATTGTCCTCCTCCTCTTCCATGGCCCCGATCGGCAGAAGAAGCTCAAGGATTTCTGTTCCCGCGGCTCAAATCCCGCATTGCCGCCAGTTCTAAGCGCTAGAAACCTAGAAAAATCTGTGACAGCACCTGGCGATTCGGTCGATTAATCGCTTCTCCGCCGGCGCCAAGGGCGCGCCGCGCCTCCCAGCTCGCCAATCTTCGCGATCACAAGCATTAGGTTTTTACGCTTTTCTCCCTTGATCGTCTGTTGCCACGTGGATGACGCTTGGCCGTCCGATCAAGGAGGCGGCAAAACGGAGCCATTGCTATGGCGCATCCTTGATGATCGAAAGCTCTTCGCATTCTCTTTTTCTTATTTAGCGATGGCGCCAGAGATGCGCGTTCTCGTCACTGCCTATTCCTCTCCATCAGGTACGATTTCTCTTTGCCTAGGCACGAAAAAGAGGTTTTTCTCCATGAGTTTGGAGCTCTTATCTCGCAAAACTTTTTTTTCCTATCGTTTCAGAGGAGCAATTAGATGGGTCTCTTGTTCATCCAAATGCTGGTAAGAGCGACATCTAGAACGAAGGTTTCCTCCAAGATTTTAGAACTCACCTCGCGAAAAAACCAATGCAGATGAGCAAATCGATGGGTCTTTTGTTCATCTTCGACACCCGAAGTCTGGTAAGTGTATGACAACTTTTTCGTTTTTTTCCGAGCGCGAAATCTTATATTTGTTCTTTCCAGGGACTAAAGCTTGTTATCTTTTGATAAATGGAACTCTCCAAGAACTCAACTGGTTCAAGCCTCGTTATTCTTCTTGGTTTATCGGAGACTCAGTGTGTGAAGGTTTAAGATCTCGCTTTCAAACTCTCGATTTTCCACTAACTTCTTTCACATCCATTTCAGATGGAAGCTTGTATTTGGGATCGGTGGTCGATCCTCTCTTCATGGTTTTACCGCTGCTGGAAGAGTCACGAATGACAAAGGTAGAGAAAAATGGAGTTCGTGTCTAAAGCTGTTCCGAGAAATTCTCTTTTGCTGCCATTTAGAAAGCTGACGAGGGCGGCTTGTTCAGAACGTTGGAGGACATGATCTACGTTGAAAACTTTCCTTGCTATTCTCGCATCATCCCACTTTTGCCTGGAACACTCGATGCTATCTGTGACTCTCGAGGTATTCCACCAAGTGTTTTATGTTTTTTTTTTTTATTGATCGATTCTCTAGAGCTACAAGAGACGAGGTACTACAGACTGAACGATAACAAGGTTCTGGGATGGCTTTCTTGTAAGGTAAAGATATCTTAAATATTTTGTTGCTTTTTTCTTTGCACGAATCTCTTCTTAAAGCTTTGTTTGTAGGTAGAGCAGACGTCAGAAGCATTAAAACTTCATGGTTTTCAAGGCCTTGAAGATCACGAACTCAGTAAGCACAGTGATTTCTGTTCATTTTCATGGGAGTTTCGTGTGTGTGTGTGTGTGTGTGTGTTTCACCTCAGAGATTTATTCCATTGGATTGCTTGGAGAATACGTGAAAAGCGAGCCTTGGCTGCAGCGGCTTTGCAACCATTTCTCGTGAGTAAAATCTCCTCGTTCGAAACGTTTTTGCTGAAAGAAACTCATTGTTTTTATAATTTGCTCAAAGGGTCGATTTGGAAGCTTGTAGCAAATCGAAGAAAGCATCTATGCCTGGGAGTGTGGTCCCATCACAACCATTTCGCGTAAGCGTTTAGGCCTCGGTCTTTGTTTCTTACATCTAGATTCGACCGACACAACTTAACACCTCACAATTTTTTCTTTCGTTGCACTTTCAGGCCAAGCAAAGCTCCACCTCCAGCAACAAAAAGACGAAGAAAGTACCAGCGGCTAGCGCAGGAACCTCTAAGATCACAAGCTTTTTCGCAAGGCCGCGCTAGAGATCGATTGAAGGATTTGTAAAAGAGTAAAATGATACAATTGTAATGTCAGGTGACAGACAAGTTAAGTTTTTCATACAGACAATGTAGATTTTTCTCGTCCGTCTTCTTGTATGATGTAATGCTACAACTGTCTGTTTTCTTATATGGTGTATTGTGATCATACCAAAACTCGTAGTACCAAATGGTGCCCCATGGGGGGCATTCCCTAGGCATCAAACAACTGACTCAAAACTGGAATGGACAAGGGGAATCTGACTGTTTAATTAAAACAAAGCATTACAATGGTCCTTGTGGATGTTGATGCAATGTGATTTCTGCGCAATGGTGTAAATGTTAAAGTGAAGAAATTCAACCAAGCGTGGATAAGTAGCAGGAGTAACTATGACTCTCTTAAAGTAACTAAATGCCTCATCATCTAATTAGTAATGTCCATATGTCAAGCACTTGATATGTCCAACACCTAATATGTTTAGGCCCTAGATATGTTGGCCCCTTCCTTTGAAGCAACATTTCATATCATATGACAGAACATCAGTGGTGATCTTTTAGTCCCACATAAATCTAAGCATGTTCGACACAATGCAACTCTGCACCCATTTATATCGGCATTACGGGCTAGTTCGGCCGAGCTGGTTTTGATGATGCTATCATCTGATCTTCCTGAGGAGATGATAGAATTGGCCGAAAAAGTTGCGACGCTCATCCTCTTACAGAGAGACCACTGGCACCACTACAAAGATAGCTCAGCTGCAAAATACATTTCTCCTGCTGCCACCACTCTTCACGCGCAGCATGCCAGGGTCGTGGCTCACTCGACTATGGATAAACCATCCCAGGTTTACCTAGACGTTATACCGAATTCGGCGGACGTTCTTCATTTGCGGAGTTTTGGCAGATACCCAAGACATCGAAATCAGATCATTAAAAGACGAGACAATGGGCGTGGAGGTTTTGCAACACCTCCACGCAACTTACGATCCAGAACCAGTGATAGTCCACTTATCCCCTTCATTGGGACTGTCGTCTCCTCATCAGCCATGAGCACAGCGTGGACAAAACTGCGGAAGAAACATGGCAAATCACGATCTACTTAGATTTATATGATATTTTCTATGGCTAACACCTTAAACTTAAGGGTGGCAGCATAAGTTTTTCTGAGACTTATAAAGCTACTATCCAGAACTTTCTCGAAGGGTACGTGGTGCTAGTGGCATCAATCTCTTTTTCAGTTTTGTCAAGGTGACAGAGAACTATACAGTCTTAATATAAGTAGGTAACATACTGAGATTTTCTCCTGGTCGACTGATCTAGTATTTACTTTCTATGACTATAGAATAATAGACAAATCCATATGGATGACTGCTTCGGCTCCAAACTGCAAATGACAGAGAGATATGGCAATTTGCGAGGCCAAACCAAATGACATGGAACATGAGCAAACTGGACTGTCACGACATTTGCTCAAGAAAGATGGAAGATTACATTAATAGAAAAAAGTATAGACATGGTTGTACATCTTACAATAGGCACTTTGAGAAAATATGTGCACCTCGGATTTTCATGGATAACTTGATGGCAGTATGCAGACCAGAAATTGAACCCATTGCGACTGACTGTGTTTAAGCGGGAGATATTATTCGAATATAAAGAGCATGTGGTATAAACCACAAGAGGTGGATGATTCCGAGCTGGAAAAACTTGTGAAGTACAATCGATTTAAGAAATTCATTGATAACAATTTTAAACACAGTCACTACTGATACTAAAATTATTCATGCTAAAAGCATGCCACTAGAAATGAGTCATGGCTTAAACCATATTCCACCTACACCATTGAATAAAAAGAAGAAAACGTATGCACAAAATGGAAGGAAGTCATATTGGCCAATGAGACTTCCTGAAGACTGGGCTTGGTGTGGTACAAGCCTCTTTGGAATGGCTCTTGTAAGTTGTACCATGAATTTTTATAAATTTGTATATTATATAAAATTCAATGTGACTAAAGTTAACCATACTTAAAAGCAGAGAATATGCAATCTACTTACAGAACTTTAGGACTGGATAAGGCTGCTAACAACCCTAGATTTAATGAGGGATATAAAAGGTTGCAAAGGCTTGATTTTATGATCTTTGCATGAAACTCATCCAGTTTAAAACAGAATTTATATGAAGCCATTGAAACACTGATCCAGACTAAACCCATAATGTATAAAAAGACTTCTTATATCTTAATAAAGCACATAAGAAAACATTCAAATAGTTAGCTGTTGCTTGCTTTTATGTAGATTTGAGGTTATACTATCTGAATGTCATGCCATAGTAATTCATCTGGAAAGGGACATTAAAACGTGGTATGGGATAAGCAATCTGAAGTGGCCACCCTTGAGCCGCCCTACTCCACTACTCAAAAGTTATTAGTTTAAAAAAAATTTAAAAATATGCTAAGAATATTAATTAGTTTTTATAAATAAATAATAATAACTTAGCATTTACTTGACCACATTTTAATATGTTTCATAAATATACATTTATCTAAAAATATATAAACTTAAATATATTAATACTATGAAGCAATATAATTGATTTGTTCAATGCAGATATTGCAAAATGTTATAAAGTATACAAATATATAAAGAAATATAATTTTAACAAAGTGATGGATTAGTTGATTGATTTTGTCTAGGAAAACCTCCCTACCAATAAAACCAGAATTTATATTAGAAATATTGCTAATGATAAATGGAAATGTAAGATATGAAGGAAGAAACCATAAAGCAAGCTTACTATAGAGAAAATCAAATATATAAGCAAATAACTTATAACTACTATGCATGTCAGGCTTGAAAATAAATTTAGAAACAACTAGTAGATATTCCTATAGGCTTCTCCTGCTCACCTGTATAGTGAAAATTACATTTATTCTCTTACAAATATAGTATTGTTATAAAACTTGCAACAACTTAATCTAGATATGCTAAAACAATTCTTTGACACATCTAAATACACAAATGATCTTATTCTTATAAATGGACCACAAGCAAGAAAAATTATACTTAGAGATACATCTTTATATATATATAACTCTATCCTTTAGACTTTCTGGAGATTAAAGAAAAAACCATTGGTCAAAAACTTATGATAATGTATGCCATGACAGAAGGAACTTTCAAGTATGACAAAAGAAAAAAGCTGCTTTTCAAATTTGCAAACTATTTTCATAGAGCTTCTAATGGGCCTATTCTTGTCACTTTTAGCTCTTAAATCACCATAGAATCAATACAAGAAATTATTCAATATTTTGCAACTAACAGCT